TAAGAGTATGTGAAAGAGACAAAGATTTTTAGGGCCTGTTCAGAATAATTAGGTAGCTGTTTCTGTTTTCCATTTTTTAATCAATGAGATTATTGGAGAATACCTTCCAGTAGGCTTATTTGGTAATAGTACCACTTCTTCCATAGCAATGCTGCTGTGGCTGCTTAAGGAACAAGCCCCTCAAAACTTGTTGGATAATTTCTGTTCCTTGGCAGACTTCTGAGGAAACTTCCTATTTCTCAGGCCATGAACTGGTTGGAGAATTTTCAAAAAGCCATTTGTGCCAGCTGTTTTTGAAATATGTTTTTACATTTCTAGTTCATTCCTAGAATATGCAAAAATTTCTTCTGATGATAATTCTGAGATTTCTTTATAGTTGTGGTATCAATTATGATAAGGTTTTTTGGTCAGCCATCTCTCCATAATTCTCTAGCTTGTCTGGTCATTCTTTGTCATCAGAAAAGCAGATCACTGAGTATTGAAATAAAAACTTGATTATTGCCAATTAATGAGAAATCCAGTATAATAAATAATGAAATATGAAATATGAAAGCAGGGTTTCTAAAGATTGTTAGTGATGTTTTGATATTGAGAGTTATTTAGTTAACACGATGATGAAAAGATCCTTCAGAGTACAGCATATGTACAACAACTGTACAGCATATTTTACTATTATCATTTTTATTAACTAAGTTTATGCTCAAAGTTTGAAATTGTCTGTCTTCACACTTTACTCTTCTTTCTTTTTGGTTTTGATAAATTGTTCCCTTATGTAAAAGTTCTTTTGATAAGTGGAGCCTGGATGCCAGAATTGATTTCGTTATTTATTGTAGTCAGCCCAAGGATGGATGTGACAGCTTTGTTATTTATGTAGTTGAATACAAAATGAGAAATATAGAAGTCAATTACAAGCATCTCTTATAATTCAAAAGAAGAAATCTTTTATCTCTGTATTATTACTAAAACTTCTATATGGTAAAGATATAATATAAAATTTAATTCAAGAAAAAATGCCTGCTTCTCTTGCCTCTCATAAAGAAGATAAATTCTATATATCAGTGGTGGCTGACCTTTTTGGGCTCCTGTGGCAAAAATTGCAAGTGTGCCAGCATGCCCATATTCACCTGCCAGTACCCAGAATGCAATGCACGCCACCCCTCCCCATGCTCCCTGTGCATGCACATGCAATCCCCACCCCCACTCCTTACCTGCACTGTGCTTCACAGCTGTTTTTTGGCTGGTTTGAGACCTTTTTCAGTATTACAGGAAGTGATGAAACAGCCTATAATTTGGCCTGAGAAGCTTTGCAGAGGCTTTTTCCAAGCCTCTGGGAGGCTCAAAAAGGCCTTAAACCAACCCCCACAAAATCAGCTGTGAGGCACAGGCATGCATAGTGAGGTAAGTTTGCCTGTGGCTCCCATACCAGCACAAATGGCTCTGCGTGCCACTTGTGGCACACGTGCCATAGGTTCACCATCATGGCTATATATGAAGAACTATTGGGCTGAAAGGTTTACACACATCAGTTGGATTGGGGGGTGGAGTTACAGGAAACTTTTGAAAATTTGGAGGTAAATTAGGAAATAGGCCAAAATGTCTTCATCATTGACCTTTTAATAGTATATTCTGTTTGTCTTAATAAATTGCAATCAATCTTACTTTATATTGCTTGAATTAAATTGGTTATTCATGGATTATGAAGCTAGCTTGTAATGACAAACAACTGTTAGGATTTTAGATCACTTACTAATAGGAGTTGTTAGCTTTTTAAATAATGGATGATAAGCCTCTGATTGCTTTTCCTTTAGCTCCCATTATACACACAGTGGTCTGTCTGTTCATTTACTTCAGTACTTAAATAATTTTCTCTAGCATTGAGGACCAGAAAGTTCCTTTACTTGGGAATGACAATGCAGAAATAACACTCTTTAGCAAGATTTTTGGAATGGTGAGAAAATCAGCCATATGATTCTGCTGTGGATGGCTACTTCCTACTAGCATTTACTGACATACAATATCAGTAAAATGTGACAGATCTTTTGACTCCCAGAAGAACCCTGATAGCCTCTTTCTTTCTTTCTTTCTTTCTTTCTTTCTTTCTTTCTTTCTTTCTGGTTTTGCATGTACTTTGTCATACAGTATTTTATTTTCACCATTCTGTTAAAGAATTTTTATATTTCTTTTCATTCCAATCCTCCTATCTCTTCACAGATATATAACCCCTCACAACTCTGCATAGTATTATCTCACAAGGTAAAATCTTGCAAGCGTAAAACTCTTATATGGAGGGTCAAACCAAGATCATACAACCGCTTCTTGTCTTTCTGCTCATCAAAATCTAATGTTGACTCCAATCCTCATTTAAACAGTCACTTTCCAGACAGATTCCTTCTGACTTTCAGAAGGTTTTTCCCATTCATGCCGATACCCAGAAATCTCTCTCCGTTTCCTTTATAGGAAGAAAAATGTGTGACCATAAAGATGGGTATCAGTCATAATGACAATTGTGATTCAGCAACATTTGGAAAATCATCTCTTTCTCTACCTTGACCTAGAATATATTTTTTCTGCATTTTTTCTTGTTTACAATTATACTTATAACTGTTGTAAGTTCAACACCTTTCTGTATTCAGTTGAATTACCTGAACAAGATCTGAGTCAACAGAGTCAAAAAGAAAAGAACAAACTAGGTTATAATGTGCTGAACACAGAGCCCTTGATCCTTTGTAAATATCTAGTATGTTGTCAGAGTCAGCTTCATACAGGTCATGCCAGTATGTCACTCCTAATAAATCCTTTGAAGTTTTTTGAAGTTTGGCTTGAGGCTCATGATTTAATTAGGGCGATCGCTGGAATCCTGACACATGTACTGAATTTTTCATAGTTCAATTAAATGATGATTAAAAAGACTATAGTGGTAATTGCTTCAGATCATTTCCAAACATCAGTGTTTTTTTTCCCAACTATTTCAAATAAAAAGAGAGGTAAAGGTCTCAATTATTTGGCTTGCACATTTCCATAAATACTGAAGTGTATACAAAAATATAATCAGTATTGCTTATTTTCAAAATGAGGGCCACAGACATTTTAAATTTCTCTGTGGAATTTGGAGAAATATTGGGTTCCTAAAATCTGAGAAGTTACAAACATATCTTTTTTCTCAGATTTTGTATTTTCTCCAAGGTTTATTTACATTAGAAATATATTTCCATGATTTCCAATTTGAAAGTTGCTTCCGCCCCTTCCCCTTTGACTTTAGTCCCTTTTCTGGTCAGGAAATTCTCTAGAATTTATTTGCTGAGCAAGTTAGCCATCTGTAAAAGGTATCTTTAAATATAAAATGTATATTGGCAAATAGATGCTTGATGATAAAACTGAACAGGTTTAATAAAATAGAAATTTGAAAGCCTCTGCTTTTATATGACATGCTATTATTGCTGCATTTTTCTTTAAAAAATGGTTAGGAGGAAACCCTAGAGCTAATCTTGCCGCTTATTCCCTAATCCAACAGTCTTTCCAAAGTGAACTCCCATTCATCTATTCTTTTTGTAGTCAGGAAAAATAATTTAACTCTTTAGTAACAGTCACCCATTGCAATATTACTGGAGTTTTGCTTGCATATTTTTATGTCTTCTGCTCCTGGTTTTGTTTTTGTTTTAGATTGATGTTTACTCTCCATTTTGAGATGATTCAGAAAATAGAATGGTACTTGTAATTGTTTTAAACAATAAAAAACACTTTATGACAAAATATAGCATGTTAATTAAAGATCCTCCTATCGATTCCATAAAGTTTGGTTAAATTTTCTTCTAATAATGTAAGTAATCATTTAAGGATTATGATGCCAAATTTAATCCTCAGTAAACTTGACACCGCCTGTACATACTTAGGGATTACTCTTTAACGGAGATTGAAGGTATTTTCTTTAATTATTATCACAGCAGGAGTTGCAGGATTTGTGAGCTAGTGCTTCTCTTAAGCATTACCATAGTAAATTCATGTTCTATCGATAGCTTCTTTATAATCTCATTATTTTAGTGAATCCCAGTCCACCTATGTTTTTTCCACTCTACACCTTTTTTGTATGTAAAAGTATTTCAGAAGTGTTTAAGTGTCACATGAAAATGTTACACATTTATAGCAGCTATTAATTTAAAAAAGTTAACTATGTAATTGTCAACATTCATTGCCAGTTTGTATCTAGAGAACCAATTTTGTCTAGTGGCTAAGGCAGGGATGTCAAACTCATGGCATCATGTTGTCACGTGATGTATCGTGACTTTTTTCCTCTTTGCTAAACTGGGAGTGGACATGGGCAGCGTGTGATGCATCCAGGCTGCAGGTCACGAGTTTGATACCCTTGGGCTAAGGCATCAGGCTTGAAAAGGGGATACTGGGAATTCAAGGCCTGCCTCACCCATAAAAGCCAGCTGAGTGACTTTGAAACAGTCACTTTCTCTCTTTCTCTCTCTCATTCCAATCTACTTCATAGGGTGATTGTTGGGAGGAAAATGGGAGGTGAAAGCTATGCTGGATATGCTCACTGCCTTGAACTATTTGCAAAAGTAATAAAGGTAGAATACAAATAAATGCATACATACATAAAAATTAGCTCATATGGTTGAACAGACGTGGGTTTTCTTCTGATGGACTTCAAACGCTGATAGAAAAAACTTACTGTGAACATGTTGTTGATAGATTTACTGTTCTCTATTTTCAGGAGGAAGAAAGCTAAGTATAAAAACTTACGTTTTCAAAGCACCATTTGTGTGGGTTGAGGGGAGTATTTGCCTATTATACTTTTAAACTTTTTTTGCTGTGCATCATTAAGATAAATGCTGAGCATTTCCTTTTTAAGAGACCCTCTTAACACTTTGAATGTCTACATGCATTAAAAGAATTAAATATTGATAGAAAGGTAAGATCTCCTGGAAGTTTGATAGTTTTTTAAAAAAATATATGTTTTTTATTTGTTCTTTCTTTTTTCTACCACATTGCAGATCTCGTCTTGCAGACTTTTTCACAAACTGCCAGCCTGAATCACTGTCCGTTAGTAGCTGCCTGAAAGAAAACTATGCTGACTGCCTCCTTGCTTACTCAGGACTTATTGGTAAGGCTTATTTTGGGGAAGGATCATTTTCTTTAATATTTAAAATATGTTTTTTATTTGATATCAACAGCAGAAAAGAATAATGAGAAAAAACAAAATACATGGATAAACATGAAGACTCCACAAAAGAGTTGGATATACATGACTATTTTTAAAATGAAAATCAACTTATTTCACCAAATTATAATCTCATACATAAAGAAGCTAAGATTGAAATGAACACAGGTAGGAAAAAGGATGCCATGGGATTGGAAAAGATTCTATAGAAAGAAAGACACTACATCATCGATACACTACTTTCAGGGAATTATTTTTTATCCAACATTAATTAAGGGTATATTGTCGTTACTTTGGAAGTGACTACTTCAACTCATTCACAGAATCCAAAAAGGGAATATCACATAACTAGATCTTCTTTGAAAAATTGGATGAATTGTTTTATAAAATATAAGACTAACATTACCATTTTCTTCTGTAGCATAGTGTTGTTCAAAAAACAGAGCTAATGTTATCTTCCTGTCAAGGTCATAGAATACCCCATTGCATTGTGGAACCGTCTTCTCCTGAGGAAGGAAGAAAACATACCCTAAAATTATTGATATTTGTACCAACAAACATATTAAGACTTTTTGCACAACATTTGTTACTCAAAACTTAAGCAGAAGCTATATTACTCAATATGTCATGAGCCTCAGGATAGTACAAGGAACTTGTTAAATGTTACACACAACATGACCTATACACTCGATATTTTCTATAATATTACAAGAGATGATTACCAGAAGCAACAGATGGTGTAAGATAATACCCATGTATGGTGATAGAGGAAGATAACCAATTATGTAATCTCCTTTTCTGTTTTGTTTTGCTGTGTCAAAGCTGGATAACAGTAACGCCTCAGGCGATATTAGGATGCTAAACGTATAAAAGTGACACCCTGGGCATAACTCAGGGTTCAGAATTTGACATGTTAATGCTCTGAACCTTTGCACAAATAAACCTGTTTCTCCAACCCTTGGTGGTCTTGTGTCCTGAACTGGTGACTAAGATTGCTGCAACAATCCAAACTGGATGACATCCAGAGGCATAGACGATAATTCCTATAATTCTGATCCTTGCCATACTCACTAAAAATCCTGAGACCTGAAGTCCATACTTTGCAAGGGATTTATATTTAGGAAGACTGCTCTAATGAACATGTCATGAAATTGCGTAATGGGTGTTCTAATGAAGTCAGAGATCTTGTAGTTTTATATAAATAAATAAATATATTTTACATTTATATACTTCAAACAATATAGTCAGGCAAACAGGAGCATCATGCAGTAAATCGCAGAGCATACAGGACATATAGAAGAAAAAGGCAAGACAAAATGGAAACTCCTCCCACATGCCCACAGCAACCAATCACTGAGCAGATGGTTCATGCAGGAGCCAGCAATCACCATCCAATCAACTATAGTTGTGTATTTTGGCTCACTGAACAACCCTACAGCTCCAGCTACTAAATTTAAATATCCTAACAGAACACTTCTCATCAGCATAGCTTGCCAATACTCTTGGTGTGACTTCCTTTCATTTTAGGAGTTTCACCATCCATCAGAAGCTCACAGTGTAATGGGTCAACAACAACAACAATGGTGTTCTTCTTCCAACATTGGTTGTGTTATATGAAAAGGAGTCTTTCAGCATTACAATGGCAGTGCACAGTAAAATGCGCTCTTTTTTGAGTGATATTAGTTTTATATAGGCCCTCAGAACATTTAATTGTGCAGAGACAATTTCCTGCCATCTGATGTGAGAGGCTGGCTGAAAGCAATTATATATTACTTTGTCAGCAAAAAATCCAGGACAATTGGTATTTCCACTCATGGGAATGCCTGTATTTATATTTGGCTGATACAATAGTTATCATATTCTCTAGTTCTCATGCTCAAACTAAGAGAATCGGGGTTGGAAATAATTTTTTATATCAAGGTTTTGAATTTCCTCCAATTTGTGTATAATTATTACAATTATTTCTACTTTTTGAGTAAAGATAAATAAATGGGATGAGTAATAAATTACAAGTCTGTCACTTGGTTCTCTATCTTTCTGCTTGTAAAACAGATTCTTTGATGTAAAAATCATTATTGACCTTATTATTTTGTGTATTGAACAGTTTGGCATATTTGTCATTTCCAACAAAGCAAAAAAGTCTTTTAAGTTTCATTTCTTACATAATGTTTAGTTCTATAACACCACCACAGCTTCAGTGTTTTAAAACAAGACCTTTGGTTTGATAAGAAATCATGTTTCATATATATATATTTGAAATGTGTGTATGTATGTATGTATGTATGTATGTATGTATGTATGTATGTATGTATAAACGTATGTGAATGAATGAAATATGGTGAGCAAATAACATAAAGGCTAGGTATTTGATTTGTCTCAAGTTCAGAATTTGCACTATCATGAAACATTTCTTGTTGCTTCTGGAAGGTGAGAAAACAGCAAATCAGATTCATATAGAAGTCTTTTGATCAGATGTGATCTGAGAAAAACATAAGTAAAACAAAATATACTTGTTCAGAAGAACAGGCAGATAGCAGGACCAGAGGAAACACAGTGAAAACTTTAGAATAACTGATATTTCAGAAGACAGAAGCATGAAATTTAAGTAGACACTGAAAGTATTTAAATATGCTCAAGATAATGACATTTCTGTTTTCCCAACCAAACAATATGTCTTTTTCCGATTTTTTTTTCTCCAGAACCAGTAGCTATCAAAGAAATGCTGTCATACCATTAAATGTGTGTGTCTTCTTCTTAGACCAAAGTAGTAATTTAGGAGGACTTTATGATAACTTTGAAGAATCTCATAAATGATTTTTATGGAGGCAAATGCAAACAGATGGCTTAATTAGCTATAGATAAATAGACTTTTGTACAAAGAACTAGGCATCTTAGACATCATTCAATCAAGTGATGTATAAATGCTAGCTACTGGTAGGAAATAGGTTAGCTCAACAACTTCTGGAAAGTAGTCCCAGATATGATAACTTTTCTTGGAAGTTTTATTGAAATTATTCTTCCATTTAGCGTTACAATAATTATAGTGCTTGCAGAGAGGCACGTTCATGTGTTATCCTTTTTTATTTTCTGTAGTCAATTTATTAAATTTTAAACAAGAAAAATTATAACTAAGAGAAATTAAGAATTAGGAAAAGAAAGAAAGAGAGAACAAAGCCAGAAGTGTACTTTCATGTTTCCATAGGCTAAGGTATTGCACAAATGTTAGAAAGATCACTGCAAAAACATCATTCGGTCTCAAGTTCAGTAGAAAGGGTCCTGAGGAAGCAATATAAGTGGACATATGATTCTTTTTTTTAATTTTTATTGGTTTTTAAGACAAACATAGACAAACAAAACATAAAAACATCAAGCCATCTTCCATATATATACATACAGTGTGCCGGTTGGTTTACAAATTGTTTTGTGCTTCCATTTCGTAGTATTCAATTACAATTACATTGTATATACTCTCATATTTTCAATCAAATATTGAATACATTAATATAATTATTAACCAATCATTTGACTATACTTTTATTCATTCATGTTTTACGAAATAATCATATTTTACTTAATTTGTTTTATGACGGTTCATATTATCACCCCAAATCTATCCTAAAATCATTTTGTAGATATAATAAGAAAAGAATACATCTTTATATATTTATTATTTTCTAAGAATCTACAAATTTCATTACTATATTTTATTGTCTAACCATTGATAGAATAGATCAATAGATACGTTTTGCCCATAAGGTTGTTCTTTTTTAAAAGACGTCATTTCAAAATATTTACTGAGAGTACACATTCGAAAAAACATATTATGGAATACGATTATTGTGCTATGAAATTTAATATGATGTATTCCAGCTCAAATATTAGTAGTTATTCATGCCAAAATCACCACAATTTGCTTGTATTTCCTTTTATCTTCAGCAGAGGTGGTATTCAGCAGGTTCTGACCAGTTCTGGAGAACCGGTAGCGGAAATTTTGAGTAGTTCGGAGAATCAGCAAATACCACTTCTGACTGGAGATTTTACAGTATCCTGCCCCTGCCACGCCCACCAAGCCACGCCCACAGAACCGGTAGTAAAAAAGTTGAATCCTACCACTGATCTTCAGTACTGTACCCTTTAGTTTATCAGTCAGTATCCCAGTTAGATTAATGACTGTTAACAAAACAAAGCCATGTAAAATATATAGTCATATAAATGCTAAATGGCAAATAGAGATCTTCCACAAATTAACCACAATAAAACATTCCTTAAGATTCTTCTAAATCAGAAGGGACCATGCCTCTTCTTTCCTCAGGAAAAGAGTTCTGGACTGATGTGATGCCAAAATATGTCTTTCTCTGAAAACCATGTGACTAAATAACTTTGTTCCTTGTCACCAAAGAATAGGTGATAGAAGCCAGTCACCATCACCTTTCAAACTGAAACTAAACATATGATGTATGTTTAAGCAACTATATTGGCTCCAGACGATAAATCTATTAGGCTCTAGGAAAAAAAGAACGTGGTCCCACAATTCAATGGTCTGCCCAACTTATTATTACTTGGCCACATTAGAACCTAATGAGAAAAAATAATGTTATTTATTTTGGGAAATACTGCTACAAATTCCAGATTAAACAGAAGCTTTTTCTTTGAATCCTTATCCTTCCACACATCAACAAACTGTAACACATTCCTGCTTATTAGCCCTTGTGGGTAAATGTATATGTCAACTGGATTACACATAGAGTTGTTTATTTACTGGATTGCCCACCCCAAATTTCATGACCCTGGGTGGGATAACAATCTTAAAATAAAATATAAAAACAGGAAAACAATATGCAAAGAGAGAGCAGCTGGGGTAAAAAACAAGCTCATTCATCTCAAATCAACATGACCAATGTACAGGCTCAGCCACACTTTCTGACTCCCAGGCCTTGTCACATATAATAATAGTATATAGTACTGTAACCATATAATGCTCTTAGTGTGGGATTGAGTATAATGTGTCTCCCTTTGAATAATTAAGAAAACTTCAGCCAGAGTCATTTTTATAAGGAGACTCTGGAAAAAAAACATAGATTCTTCAACAATTTGAAAGGAAGTGCTTTCTGTATGTTTTCATATGATGTGAATCATCTCTTGCAAATAATTTGCATAATGAGAAGGAGGAGGAAGAGCAGGAAGTCTTCACCTATCTTTTATTTATTTCATTTATTTATCTAATTTATGTAACTGCCCATCTCACTAAACGTGACTCTGGGTGGCAACAAAGCTAAAAACAATAAATAAGTATGCAAAATCACTATCACTATTAATGGTTTATTAATTTTTTATTAAAAACTATATTAAAAAACCAAGGAAATAACAGATGAAAGTAGTGTGTCACATATTTAGTAAAATATTCACTGCCCCCTGTATGTAACAGATAACATAATCAGAGTTGGAAGGGACCTTATAGGTTATTTAGTCCAACCTGCCACCCAAGGGGGAGACCATTCACCCTTTCTGACAAATGGCAGTCCAATCTCTTCTTGAAAGTCTCAAGTGATGGCGGTCTCACAACTTCTGAGGGCAAGCTGTTCCATTGGTTGATTGTTCTCACTGTCAGAAAGTTTCTCCTTATTTCCAGGTTAAATCTCTCCTTGTTCAGTTTCCATCCATTATTCCTTGTCTGGCCTATATGCGTTTTGGAAAATAGCTTGACCCCTTCCTCTCTGTGGCAGCTCCTCAAATATTGGAAGGCTGTTATCATGTCTCCCCTTGTCCTTCTCTTCACTAGATTAGCCATGCCCAGTTCCTGTAACCATTTTTCATATGTTTTAGTCTTCAGTCCCCTAATCATCCTGGTTGCTCTTCTCTGTACTTTTTCTAGAGTCTCAACATCTTTTTTATAATGTGGTGACCAAAGCTGGATGCAGTACTCTAGGTATAGTCTTACTAAGGGTTTATAGAATGATATTAGTACCTCACTTGATCTCAGTTGTATCCCTCTGTTAATGCAGTTTAGGATTGCATTAGCTTTTTTGGCAGCTGCTGCACACTGCTGGTTCATATTTAGCTGGTTGCCACTAAGACTCCAAGATCCCTCTCACAGTTACTGCAATTGAGCCTGGTTTCATCCAGTCTATACTGGATACTTTTGGTTTTTCTTGCCTAAGTGTAGGACTTTACTATATGTATATGAACACTTAATTCTTTGTTCTGGGTTATACTGTGATCTACAAAATTGGTTATCTGAATTACCTGCCACAATCATAAACATCAGTTTGATCAAACCAAGTGCAGATTAAGTAGATATTCTACTCTGTATTTTGTTCAACAATGAATGGTTTGATACATCCTGTTTGCTATATGCCACATGGATATAAAATCAAAGTGGAGAGCTAGACCAGATGCTTAAATACTTGGAAACTCTTCCAAATTCTTCTTTTTAGGGATATGATTTTAAATACACAGAGAGAGAGAGGGAGGGGAGAGAGAGAGAGGGAGAGATTATTTTTACATTAATGGTTTAACCTGATTTATTTAATACCCCTTTGCATCTCCCATGTGAAGAATCTGCCCTTAGAAGTATTTCCCATACTAGCTCACTTTTCTTGTATTTATCAACTTCATTTTGTGTTTTCATTTGGAATATCTTTATTTCTGATGATATAAATTGTGCCCTAGATACAAAATCTAGCTGTTATTGTTGCACTCATTGAATGGGATAATTTTATTAGCCTCTTTATTCCTGATTGCGGTATTGCTTGTGACATCAGGGTCATTCAATTTATCCTTCCTATTTATCTTTCATCAAGCTTTGATTAATAGGACTTGTAATATTTGTTTGTTTGTCTGCATTCTTCCATCTGCAATTCATTAATTCAGAGGTCTGTTACTTAAGTTTGCTAAGCTTCTGTAGACAGTAGGTAGTTATGATCACTAGAGTTGTTTGTCAGAATTAACAAATGGATCCAGAAAGTAGGTTTGCCATCTTATTCAAAAGAGTCTAACAGCAATTCAAGACATGAAATTGGTGGGTATGCCCTATTGTATATACGCCTAATTCCCATTCCTACTATGGCAACTATTAATTTCATTGTGACTCAGTTCTTTTACACAATCATAGCCAGAGACCTAGTGAATTAAATTATGCCTGTTACAATAGTGAACATATTGCCAATAGGTTTCAGTAATTTTGCCCTGAAATATATATTTGCTTTTTCAAGAACTCAGAAAATGTTGTGAAACACAGATTTTTCCTGTTTTCCAGTTTCACATTATATTTTTAATCTGAGTATTTAACTACTATTACTGCATGATTATTATTATTCCTGCTACTTTTTTCAAATATTAATATGTGTCATGAATAACATATCTGTAGCTAAACTCTTCTGAAGAAAGTTATTTCTTTTTTAGACTATAATCCCCAGAATTCCAAGGCAACGGCCAACAGCTGGATATTACAATCTATCACATCTGGACTGCATAATGTTGGAGAAAGCTGCTTTGCTGTTGCTCAAAATTTTTGAAATATTCCAATATGTCCATATGATATTCTGGGTTAATTATTCTGTACTTTTAAAGGTGCAATTAAAGTACACTTTTTCCCTATAGAGTAAAAACAAGCACTTTTGTTAGTAATCATCAATATTTTAGATTCACAGGGTACTTTTTGTGATACTATAATTTTTATTTAAGATTACCCAGCCCTATTGGTTATTCTTCAAGACCACAAAATAAATGAAACTGAATAATGCTTTCCATTACATTATTACTACATTAGTACTAAATGATAAGTCTTTTTGAGTTGTCATTCTATACTTAAAATAGTACTTTAATATATAAAGAATAGCCTATCTGAAAAATTCAGATATACTTCACTGATGCATTAAAGCAGTTAGTCTGGACTCATAGTGTCCTTCATAATCAATCAAGCCATATTTACCACATATACATATACACACAATCACACACAGACACACACAAAATAACACCTCCAAAGTTTTGAACTGAATATGACCAAAAGCTTGCTTATATTTACATTATAAACTTATGCTACTTCTGTCATTATAATATTCATTTATTTTTCTACTTTTCTTCATTGTCTTGAACAATAAATGTTAGTAATAGATAGGATATACAATTAAGAAAAATAATTAGATTATTAAGATCATATAAACCAGTGATGGCTAACCTCCTGTGCCAAAAATTGCTTGTGCACATGTGCTTGTGTGTCAGCACCCAGAAGGCAATGCGTGCACCGCCCCCCCCACATCCCCCTGCACATGCAGGTGCAATTCCCCACACCCCCTTATCTGCACTGTGCCGCCCAGCTAATTTTCGGCCCATTTGGGTTTTTTTTGGCCTGCCAGAGGCTTCAGGGAAGCTTTTGCAGGCTGAAAAATGGGCCCGTTTCATCACTTCGGGTATTTTAAGAAATAAAGGAAGTGATGAAATGGCCTATTTTTTGAACTGCAAAGCCTGCAGAGGCTTCCCTCAAGCCTCTGGCAGGCCAAAAAAGGCCCGAAAATCAGCTGGGAGCCACACGCATGCGCAGTGAGGTAAGTTTGCCTGGGGCTTGTGTGCCCACACAAATGGCTCTGCGTGTCACCTGTGGCACGTGTGCCATAGGTTCGCCATCACGGATATAGACAGTTCTCATTACTGGATTTCCATAGCCCAACATCAATATTTCATGAACTTATTGAAATAGAATGTCTTTCTTAGAATATTTTATTTTGTTCATATCTTTTGATACCATGTTAAATTTGTTTATATAGTTATACTGTATTTGCATTACAGTATCCCTGAACAACTGTTTTTCCAGTACCTTATAGGATGTCTCTTTATGCTACTATTATCATGTATGAATTATTATCTAAGATTGTTTTATCTTATCTCGTAATACTGATTTTATAGAAATTTTAAATACTCCATTTTTTTTGATGTTATATATAATATTTGGGGGTGAGGATTGTGTATAGTAACAACATTTATAGAACTTGTATTTAAATATTTTGTGTATATCTTTGAGTAGTCTTTTGTATTTATACAGTAAGAATTGGCTAATTAAAAATGGTCACATAAATATTGCTTTTGATTTTTTTCAATAGGCACAGTTATGACACCAAATTATTTAAATTATAATAATCTCAGTGTTGCACCGTGGTGTGATTGCAGCAGCAGTGGCAATGATATAGAAGAATGTCTGAAGTTTCTGAATTTCTTCCAGGATAATTCATGCCTTAGTGAGTACCTTTATGTTACCTTTATAACATGTGTTATGTGTTATAAAATGTAACTTTATGTGTTATAAAATGATATAGAGTCATGTCTGCGGAAATTACAAATATGAGATCTGTTTACATAACAAAGATGCAAAGATTATTTTCTCAGGGTCATTATTCCAAGCAATGGTGGGATTCAAAGTTTTTTACTACTGGTTCTGTGGGCGTGGTTTATTTGGTGGGCGTGGCTTAGTGGTCATATGACTGGGTGTGTGTGCTTGTTGGTCAAGTGAATGGGTGGATGTGGCCAAGTTGACGTCACTCACGTCAAGGGGTGCCTTGCCTGGCCTCAAAGAGATAGAATTTCCCTCTCTATTTACTACTACTGAACATCCAAATTACACTATTTAATCCTATGTATATATGCCATATGTGTACATACATATTACATAGTATAGTGTATGTATAGGCACACAAAAAGTTACATTATCTACTATATATACTATATAACCCTTGTCATGAGATGCCTGCAGCCGCCACGTGTTTTTTTCCATGTGGCTGGACTCCAGCCACACACACACAAAAAAAAAAAAGACGTGGCAGCTATAGGCTTTTTGCAGCAAAAATTACCAAATTCTGGCTTTGCTCCACTTCTCCAATGCACCACCGCAGCCATATTCTAGGTGCCGGCCATGCAGGTCCACTCCATTGAGCCCATTGCACTAGAGGGACTTGGCCAAGCAAGTTTGAGCGGAGTGGTGCAGCATTCCAAAAGAGGTGGCTGGAGACCGAAAAAGAGTCGCCTCCAGCTGCCCCCTTCTCAGTGAAACCTCCTGAAAGGTTGCTCTCCTCTACTTCTCTGCCTGTTTGTTCTGTATGGCTGAGGAGGAGGAGAGCAGCTGGCTGGTTGGGGGAGGCTTCTTGAGCTGAAAAAGAGCTGCTGGAGGCAACTCTTTTTCAGTCTCCAGCTGTCTCTTTCGCAGCGCAAGAAGCCTTCCCCAACCTCCAACCTGGCTACTCTCCTCCTCCTTGGCATACAAAACAAACAGGCAGAGAAGGAGGACAGCAGCCAGCCAGTTGAGGGAGGCTTCTTGCACTGAGAAAGGCTGGACATGTGGTCACCTACTGGCTGACCGGACCAGGCTGCATTGGGAGAGAAACGTCTGCTGGGAGAAGGAAGAGAGCGTGCTCTGAGAGGGCGGGAGGTAGGCAGATGTTCCCGGGACACTGCACATGCATGTTCAGCAGCCACAGGACATCTGCCCAAGCTACACCGCGGTCACCACATAGTAGGAAAAGCTAGGAGAGTCACCAGAGCAAGTGAGCAACCGGGTGATTGGGTCAGGGGGGTGGCCAGCCAGGAGTCGCCACCAGTTCGGCGACCCATACTGAATCACTGCTACCAGGTCGTCTAAACCGGTGCAAACCATTTAAATACCACCTGTGATTCCAAGGGGACAAATACTCTCTAAAGATTCAAAAAATAATCTAAATCCTCCACAACATGATATGTGATATGTTTGACATTTGTTTTCCTTTTAAGTATAACATTATTAGGCTCCACAATATCCTATTGCAGGAGAAGGAGCAGCAGAACCTTGAGGTGAAGTCAAGAGAAGAATCAGTCTCATATCTCTACATAGCCAAGTCCAACCCCCCCCCCTCGAATCCCATTAACCCTTACTTAGAGCCAAAATAGTGCCAATTAGTTGAATAGATTTCTGTGCATAGAGATGAGCAATAAATTAATTTCACTGAAATTTCACAAGTAGTTCTGATCTTTTGTGCCAGACCCATATCTCTTTATGTACAATAGTAAAATATTTTCATTATAGTTGAAATCAGCACCTTATCTCAGGCTTATGCATTCAGGTCTTCTCCTCTGGCATAGCTATTCCATTTGAATGTTTGGTTGCTATTTCCAATCAGCTTTTATTTGGTATCTTGCATAAAGCCACACATAATGCTAACATAAAATTTGCTTTAGTGTAGGAAAAACAAGCAGAGCAGGGGGCAAAGATAAGTGAGTCATCAACCTAGAGTCGTTATGTTCCCACAAATGGTCTAACTCCTGTTAACCCTTATTTGCTTTCAATTTAGCTTTGAACATTAATTGATTAAATTCTTGTGTATAGACTTGAGCAATAAATCTTCTTGACCACAACTTAACATACGGTCCTGATTTTTTTACACCTGACATTTGGGTGCTTGTTTCTATTTTGGTCTGCTCTATAATTCCATTTCTTTGTCTTGTAGTTATCAGCTAGAAAACCATTGTGGCCTGTTCAGCATACCATAATTTAAAGCATCAAAATTTAGCATTTGTTTTTAATCAGGTTTAGGAAACAAAGCAGGATCAGAAACCATTGTTTGTATTTGATATATTACAAACAATACTACTTGATCCTGTATTGTTTCATCAAATTATAGTTTAAACTAATCATGATGCCAGTTTTGTATTGGAAAATTACTGTGGGTAATTTCTGCTTAAGCTTTCACCCAGCACAGTCATAGATAGCCCCTATATCTGACCAAAGCAAGTTCACACCGCATGGGGAAATAGGATAAATGGCAAGGAAAAGCAGGGAAGAAAAACAGAAACAGACAACAAACAAAAGAAACATGAATAGCAGACAAGAATTCACATTATATTTCTTAAACATTTTAGACTCACTGGAAATATAATTGTGGGTAATTAGTATGGACTACCCAAAGGGAGTTGCCTTTAATTGTTTCAGACTTAATCATTTTAGGCACATAAGAACAGCAGAATACAGATGGAAAGTAAGATACTTCTTCTATTTTTTACCATGAAAGAAATTATTTGACAGTGGTGATGATCTGTCAACATTTTACACATTACAAGGTTTCTTTGTACCTAGGCCAGAGTGAAGAATCCCCATGATCTTAAATTTGCTACCCAGGAGCCATGGCCTTGAATTGTGCATTTGAGATCTTAATCAAATGTAAAAAGCTAATTGAGTGCTAGAAAAACATGGTTTAGGAAATTTCCATCTAAATTTGGTTAAATATCTATTTCTCTAATTAAAAAAAGTATGTAGATTTTGAGAAGCTTCAGTTCCCATTGAACATTCTTAATTGCTTTAATATCTTGAAACTCAATTGCCTTTGCGTAATTTTGAAAAGAAATACTTCTTTTCTATTCTTTTGCTTTTAGAATAAAAACGTTAATGAAGATAAAGCAAGGACAGTGTGAGGAAAAATTATATCTAACCTGGCAGAGACTTTTTCTTAGGAAGAAATTAAAGGTGTCCCTGCTTTAATAGCATTTCACTGAAGGGGAATAATGTTCCATTACCTTTTTTTGTTAATGGAATGACTTTTGTAAACCTTTTTTTTAAATAAAAGATACAATTATCTTTAATATGCATAATGCTTTGTTCGTACATAAAATGGAGCCACATTTTTTTTGAAATAATAGTTGAAAGATCATATTAGTCTGGTTCACGTAACAGAAAACCACCCAAATAGATTGAACTATGAATAGTGCAAAATATGAGAGAGATCCCAAAATATGGCTTGGTTAGTATGTGAAAAGAATGTATTGAATTTAAAAATTATTCAGTTTCTTTGTATATTTGAGATAGTTTGGGATTTTTAATTGGAAATCAATAACCAAAGACAGATATGCATTTTTGATGCATAAATCCTTGCTCCAAAGCCAGCTGAGGAACTCTGGGAGTTGAAATCCACAAGTCTTAAAGTTGCCCAGGTTGGATCCCCTGCTCCAAAGGATTTACTCTTCTTTATCAGAAAGGTTCATTCAATTAGGCCATCTGCCACTTTCTTCCTATTGATTAAAGCTGCCTTGGGACATTTTAATGTAAACATGGGCCAAAGAACACATTCAGAATTATCATAGGTGTACAGGCAACTAGTTCAGAATCTGAGTAGAGATAGTATAAGTTCAAGTGTCTAGGTACTATGCTTACCAAAGTGAATCATTCTCTGCACACTGAAACTGAAGACTCAAAATATTAATTCTAACTTAATGTCCTCACTGACATGTTACTAGTCTGGGAGGAAGTGAAGGGTTTTTTTTCTTTCCAAATAAATTCCTGTGCCTTAAGAGAAGTATGTCATCGTATATTCTGAGGATAGAAGACACTTTGAAAACAAATGAATGGGTGAAGATGCAAATGTTTGCAAATAGCATTGTGAGAATGTGCAAAATTTGCACTGTGCAAAAAAACAGTGCAAATAGCATGTGAAAGTAGCATGTTCTGAAGATCACCCTGAAGATTAGCCTTGTTTGAGAAGGACTTTTTGCCTCTTAAACTGAACTTTTTTTCTGAATCCTTAATTTAAAATTTATAAATGAAACAGAATGTTAGTATATTCTGATAGAACATGTGTTGATCATAGAAAGAACCCAATTCTTAAGTATTGGAAATTCAGTCAGTTGATTAAAAAGGACACACAAACACAGAAACATACATATACATACATATATACATATACATATATGTATGTATGTATGTATGTTATTTTTTAATCAACTGAATGAAATCCTAGCAGTTCCTCCTTCCAAACATCTATGTATGTATGTATGACTGTATGTATGTATGTATGTATCTATGTACATACATGCATACATACAAGTTTGTCATATCCACACATTTTGGGGGAGGGTGGAACTACTAGGAATTATTTCAACTGAAGTTAGTAACCTTAGGTGGTTTCATACAGGATTTTTCTTTTGTGCTTATGTTTTTTTAGCCTACTTTTCATTTGGAAAAGGTTATTAAATTCAGAATTTTTCACCCCTTCATATAAATACAATAGTTATCTGTATACTGGTGTTTTACTCCTTCCTTTATTTTCTAATTTAAACTTTCTTTCAAATATGTTTTACTTCCCAAAAGATAACACTTCTCGCCATGCTAAAACGATGTAATTGCATTTTAAATAGAAGGATATTTAAACATGCATAAGGATAAAGCCCCTAGAATTTGCTCAATGATATTTGAGTAATGCCATGCTAGTTTATTTGTTCAGGTTAACTATCTGAAAACCTACTGTTATCATCTTTTAATTTTCTCTAAGACATGCAAAGTATAAAAACTTTTAAATTTTTCCTGGCTTCATCTTCTCATTAACTGTCTGTATCTGAAGTATATTTTCTACAATTATTATAATTTTTTAAAGTTAAAATGAAGGTGATCTTTTCAAGGTAAGCAAAAGTAAAATGATTTATAACAAACATTAGATATTTATGAAGAAATGCGTTAATAGCTACCATACTCAGGTCTCCAGTGAAATTGTTTTGATTTCTTATACAATGAGTTTGATATAAGAAGTCTCCAAATCCATGCTGAGTCCCCAAAGACATGATTAAAATCTATTTTTCTATTCATTTGTATTTATTTTTTTAAAGAAATACCAATTTATTTTTGCCATAATTGCAGTATTTAATCCCATGAAAAACTACACCTTTCAAGTTTTACACGTTCAGTATTGTGGGTGAGCATATATTTCCACCTAATTATGCACATTTTGCTTGAAGACTTGAAAGGAAGAAAAAGAAAAATAACCAATCAATTAATTAATTTAATGAATTTCCTATAAATAAATCAGCAAATTTGTCCGTAATGTATTAACTTATGAAAATACAGTACATCATTGAATTGGTGAGTTTGTTTTCTTGTAAAATACCTGGAATATTTTTTTATGGTACTATTACTCACTATAGATTTGCAGCTTCTGAAACTTGCATTTATAATCTGTATTAGTATGAACTTGTTTATATCTTAGAGTTAATAGCATTAGGTACTTTTATTCTCTTTATTAAGATGGTTGACTCAGCCTTCCATCCTTTATATTGATGGACTCAAACTTTCATCCTTCCAAGGTTTGTAAAATGAGGACCCAAATTTTTGGAAGCAATATGCTGACTCTCTAAACCCTTACAGATTGTCGTAAAGCACTGTGAAGTGATATATACATCTAAATGCTATTGTTATTATATGATATATGTTATATAGATGATATATGTTATATATGTGCTAAATTGCTTTTAGAGTTTCCCTGCTTATTTTGCTAAGTGGGATTTTCTATCCCGTAATCTTGTCCCAGTAATACTATTGTTAATAAATAAACAGTTGAACACAATTATCACTTACCACTTCGCTAAATGTCTATGGAGATTCTCAGTCATCTGGGTCATGGTTGTCTCAAAGGTGCTTTTTCAAGGCATAACTGGACTTTCTTGTTTTTCTTTAAGACATTTCGCTTCCCATCCAAGAAGCTTCTTCAGCTCTGACTGGATGGTGGGGAATGGAAGGATTTATACTCCTTGCAGACAACTGGTCATCTGCATTCTTTTAAAGAGTTGTTGAGGCCACTTGGAGGTTTATCTGTGTCCTCTAGGTCATCTGAGTAGTGCAACTGTGTATGGAGCCTTCTGCGGGATGTTTTCTGCCCTGTGTTAAACATGGGCACAGGCTCTTGGGGATGTGTGTATGTTGTCTTCATCTTAATCTGAAATGGTTCCTATAGTCTGCAATCTTTTCTGGAAATCCATTCACACTTCCACACCATGCAGACCATTCCCAAACATCCAGTCAGAGCTGAAGAATCTTCTTGGATAAGAAGCGAAATGTCTTCAAAGAAAAACGAGAAAGCCCCATTGTATCTTGAAAAAGAACCTTTGGGATATTTACCATGTATACAGTAGTTGTAAACAGGTCAGTTTACAAAGAGGCAGGCATGACAATCAACTTCTCCATAATTTGATTCAGAAAGAATGAATGGTAATTCTTTCATTCTTGTTCATCCCAAAGAGTTTTTCTTTTATTAGTTTTGTTTTTTAGAACTATTTCTGTTTGTTTTAATATGTAATATGTTAGGGGGGGGAATGGAAAAAGCAAAACTCTGCTATTTGCTTATTTAAGAAATTGCTGTGCATTTTTTTTTCTACAGAAAGTGCAATTCAGGCTTTTGGCAATGGTACAGATGTGAATGTGTGGCAACCATTCCTACCTGTCCAAACCACGACAGCTTTAACTACAACAGCATACAGATCAAAGACTTATGAGTCTGATAATTCCAACAATGAAATACCTACTAATAATGATTTACCAGCTTGTGCCAACATCAAGGTAAGAAATAATTGCAATTTGACCATTATTTAATATTTTGGAGGGGGAAAGGATTGTCAAACATATGAAGGGCATGTGCTTGCTAAATGTTCATGCATATCTAAAAATCCAAGCTTCCTTTTCTCTGTCTCATGCCACCTAACACTATGTTGTTGGAATGATGCATCCAAACGATTATGCCAAGCCAGTTAGTTTTGATTTTATAATATTGACTCGTTCCATACAGTAGGATGGGACATTAACTGCAAGAAATTTAGAACTTGAGAACCTCAATGGATAAGTCAGTCAGTGGCTGGATCATTAACGCATGTTATGTCATTGCTTTAGTCATGATTCATTTAAAAACAAAACATAATTGATCCATATATAAGAAGAGTGTCAAACTGACAGCCCGTGGGCTGGAGGCATCACATGCAGGCCATGCCCACCCCAGCTCCATGAAGGAAAAAAAATGTCACGATATGTCATATCACAGCAACATGATGCTGCGTGATATATAACATTAAACCATAAACAATTTATAATGGCAATCTGTACCAAAATGGTGGGGTCTACACATTGCACTGTGCTAAAAGAACCACAGTGCTTTATTGTTATATATGAATGATATTGATAATGCACAGTTCAGATCAATGGTAGATGGAAATTCCGTGGTTAACAAAATGGTGCAGAATTGTGGCCACATGAGCAATTTTTGGCAGCCCTGGGATGGTGCATGTAACACCTTTGGTGCATGAGCTGTGTTAGATGCTGGTTTGCTTCCAGGTCCAATTCAAGGTGTTGGTTACTATCTTTAAAGCTCTACAGATTATCTGAGACACTGTCTTGCCCACATCACATTGACAGGGGCACTCACCATGTAAGCCAGGGAAAGTATATTATAGACCCTATCAGTTAAAGAATTTTGACAGGTTGAGTCCCGGAAGAAACCCTTCTGTGTTGTTGCCCCCCCCACCTGTGCAACATCCTTTCCCTAGAGATAGAGTGTGCAGACCTGGGTCTGCCACTTCCCATGGAAGTTGAAGAAAGGCTTCTAATCCTAGGGGCATGCAGTCCTGAAGGCGCTCCTGCAATATTTTAATTTTTAGCTTATTTTGCTTTTTACTCGCCTCCCATTTTACTGAACTTTGTATGTATTGTATTTTTATATGGTTTTGTGATTTTTACCTGCAAGCCACCCAGAATGAAAAGGGTGGTATCTAAATTTGATAATTAAATATAAATAAATAAAATCCAGCAGGTAAACATAGGAAACCATTAGGATGTATATTTCTTTTTCTGTTGATTGCCTTGATTCAAAATTTTAGTGTAGCTCTTAAAATCTGTTTTATTCTTCTCTGTAAAGTATGTTCACAAACTGATTAGAATGACATGGCTAGCTTGTCAGACTGACATTGAAAGCATGTATAATAGGCAGACACAAAAATGTTAAAAGATGACATATAATTTATTTTTATTACTGTGAGATACTATTTTGAATAGAGAAACGTTTTCTAGGTGAAATTGGCTGCTGTAAAGCCAAGTGGAAAAATCACTGGTATTTTAAGGGCAAAGTAGCTATAAAAATTCTGTAAAACACAAGCTTGCTGACTGCATTATATTAGCAAAAGTTGGAAACTCAGAAGGATAAGTATAAATCTTTTCTTTACCCAATTTTCTAAATACTTTGATGTAATTTATTCTAAAAAGAGGAATAGTGGTTCTGCATTCTTAATGCATCTTTTGGGAAGAGAAATAATTCTTTCAAATCAGTAATAGTGACAAGAGTTAGTCATGAAAGTCGAGGGTTCTGCAGTGATAGTGGGACAAATGAAGAGTATGTTACTACTTCATCATGCAAATACTGCAACTTGCATACTAACATCAGTTGTCAGTTACAAGTAAATTTAAGGATAACATCTTGTCCACATACCATTTCGTCATAAAAAAACATAAATCCAACAAATAATGATATCCCAATCCTTGTCAGAGAAGCTGTCGAGCGTGAACGAAAGCATCCTAACGCCATCTTATTTGGTCTAGAGGACATCAATAACAATGATGATATCACAATTGTCCACAACCTCATCAGTGACTATCAAGCATCAACCATCTCACCTGATGAAATACTTGACATTTCTCGCATTGGCCAAGAGCTCAAAAACAGAGATGGCTCTGTGGCCCCACACTTCTGCAGAGTCATTTGCAAAAATGAATTAAGCAAACGTAAATTCATTTATACTATAAATTCATTCCCCCAAAACAACACCAACCATAAAAACCTCCGATCTCATCCTGACTTAACCTTACAGCAACGTGCCCACTCCTGTATACTATGCACAGAACTCAAAAATTGTCAAGACAATAGAGAGAAGGACCTGTGCATTGATTACCATGAAGACTGTATCAAAAGAAAGTCACACAACCCACAACTCAGCATTCAAACTTTCTTCAACCAATCCACCATCACCCAAGACTAGGCACGCCCGCCCCCAACTACCTCAATTCAAACTATAACCGGCCTTAAATGCAAGCTAATCAATGCAAGAAGCCTTGTAAATAAAATACCTGAATTTCTCCTCTTACTAAATATGGCTAAATTCGACATCATATTTGTCTGTGAAACATGGCTCAACACGTCTTTCCCTGACTCCATTCCCTCAGTAAGAGACTATCATATTTACCAATCCGATTGTGAAATCCATAGATTAGAAAAATCTATGCCACCAGATTAAAACTGAATGCACTAATTATCACATTAAACAAGAGGAAAACCTTCTACGCACAAATTCCACCCATGCTTTCTACAGTTTTGTAAACAACAAACTAAAAGACTCAAGGTCCATCCCACCCCTGAAAGGACATAATGGCAAAGACTGCTGTGTTCTCTTATGTATGCATATGTAACACCTTGTCTTCTCACTGCATTTTTTTTTTCATTGTGTTAAATATTTCTTTAGCTTAACAGTCTCTCAATAATTTCTCAATGGGAAGGGTTTTGTTTTTCCTTTCCCTTTTCCGAACCTTCTAAGTATATTTTCTATTCTGCCATTATGGTCTTTGTCTTATATAATACTATTAAAGAACTTTAAAATATTATACACATATCTACTATTTTTTATTTTATTTTAAATAAACCAATCAAGAGGCAGCAGCACACCCAATCAGCCCAGCACACCAGCCCCCACCACCAGTATTTATAGACAGACGGCAGCTCTGATCACACACTGCTTGCACTGGCACGAAGCCAAAATCACCAGCCTGAGGATGGCGAGTGGGACTTCGCCAAAATGTCACCAAGATGCTCTTAATCTTACATGGGAAAAGACCCAAACACACCTATATATATAGGTGGCATTCAGCTTTGTTCGGGTATTTTCCTACATATTATACAGAACACTATACAGAAGCCTGATGATGGCAGATGAGATTCTGCCGAAACGTTGCTACAACTTTAAAAGCACAACTACAATGACGTGGGAAAATACCTGAACAAAGCTGAATGCCATACATGTAAGTACCCGCGAAAACTTAAGAAAACAAATACATACATACATACATACATACATACATACATACATATATATTCTCGTAGATTTTCACAGGTACAGGTATGTAGGTCTAGGTGTGTTTGGGTCTTTTCCTGTGTAAGATTAAGAGCATCTTGGCGATGTTTTGGCGAAGTCCCATTTATTTGCCATCCTCAGGCTGGTGCTTTCGGCTTCATGCTTTTGCGAGCAAAGTGTGATCGGAACTGCCATCTCCATATATATACTGGTGGGGAGGTTGGCTGTGTTGTCATTTCTTGATTGGTTGATGGAGTTGATGTTTGCAGATTGGCTGGCTTTTTCATAAGAACATGTGTGGCTGAGGTATTGGCTGTGTGTCTATCACAGCCTCCTGTGTTGTAATGACCTGGGTCATGGGCTGTGTGATGACTTTCTGAGTTCTATTGTTGTGGCATCCTGGGTCTTGTTCTGTAATCTCCTGGGTTGCTGGCTGTGTTGCAACATCCTGAGGTTTTGTGGTGTAACCTCCTGAGTTCTGTGATGTGATATCCTGAGTGGAGGGCTGTGATGTGATGTTCCATGTTTTGGTTTGGCTCTGAGTTTGAGGCCTGGATATGTATTCATGGTGTGTGTCCATTTGCTTGGTTTGGGGGTCGGGGTGTGTGGCAGATGGTGATGCAGCCATGGTCTGGTTTCTGGACAGTGGTTGTCTTTCATCTATGGGATGGGTTTGTGTCTATTTCCCTGAATAATCAGGGAAGCCATCGAAATAGAGAACACCTCCATAACATGAATAAACGGGACGATGCCTCCCCCCTACCAGACATCTGGAAACTAGCCTTATCAACAAACAAGTCCCAGCCACAAAAACTAACACTGTACCCAAAACAACACATGACACCACCACCATTCTCCCTCACCAGACTCAAACCCAAACCCATCCCATACACGATTTAAAACCATCCCTAACTATTGGACCGGATGGAATATGTGCCTACTTCTTAAAAAAGCTATCCACTGCCATAGTAGAACCTCTAAGCATAATCTTTGAAAAATCTTTGAGGACTAGCTCCTTGCCAAAACTATGGTCACAAGCCACGGTCATCCCCATCTTAAAAAAGGGAGATCCCACCCTAGTTGAAAATTACAGACCAATCTCCTTATGCTGCGTCACCTGTAAAGTCATGGAATCAATTATTAACCAATCCATTATCCTCCACTTAGAGACAAACAACCTACTCTCTAATAAATAATTTGGTTTCAGAAAAAAACTATCCTGTAATCTGCAACTCTTACACTGCAAAAACATATGGACTACACAACTCGATCAGGGCAAAGCAATAGACATAATCTACATAGACTTCTGTAAAGCCTTTGATTCAGTGGTACACGACAAACTACTACTAAAACTAAAATCTTATGGTATCTCTGGACACCTACATAACTGGATAGAAGCATTCCTGTCAAACAGACAACAAATGGTCAAAATTGGGAGTGTCCTATCAAATTCTG